AACAAGGCTTCTCGGAAGCTTAGGGTATGCTGAGACTCCGACGAGCACCGACCCAGAGCATGGCAACTTGGGCTGCGCATCTTCGTTTGCAATACCGCCATCTTCAGGTAGCCTTGTCGAGGGCTCGCGCGAAGACCGGAGAGAAGCCCAAGGATGGGCTTCCTCACCGGCTAGTATGACCACGGAGGAGGAGCCTCATGCTGAAAGCCAACCAGATGATGACGACGAGCAAGTTACCCTTGCCCCGCCCCCTGGAGAAGATCGGACTGAGGAGGTCGAGCTGCAAGAGGACACCGCCGCGAAGAAGCGGAGATCCCGGAAAGATTCTGACAGTGATGACTCTGCTAAGGCCTTTGAGGGCGTGCAGCTCTGGGAGGCTCATGATGAACCCTTACCAGAGGTGCTTCCTTCTGAGGTTCTCGGCTGGCTGCTCCTGCGACGAGCAGGCCTGACAAGCCAGCAGAGACTCTCAGTTCAAGCGGCAGCCGGCAACAGCTTGAAGTTGGACTCAGTGGAACGTGCCCTTCGTGCAATGGAGGAAGATCTTCAGCACGAAGGACAAGGCAAAGGAGGTCGTGAGCCTCCTCGCCGCCGCACGTACTGGGTCGAGGAGTCTGGACATTGGTCTCTCCTCTTGGGCGAGTCCTCCGAGCTGGACGACCTGGTGGAAGGTGGCGACACACTGTATGTGGGCGAACGGCTGCCTCCCCAGGTGATTTTGTGGCATTCCTCTGACAGCTGGACAGATCCGGACGCACCCTCTACCTCCTGGTGGTCTTCATTGGATTCTCAAGAAGGATGGAGTGAAGATGTGTGGTGGAATGAAGAGCCAGACCTGTCAGACCTCACTCCTGAGGAGCAGAAAGAGGTCGACGAGGCCTTTGCGGTGGCCGAGCAGAAGATGAGGAGCTTTGTGCTTGTCAAGCGGTGAAAGCTCGGAACCTATCAAGAGGCTTTTACCCCTTCTCCCCTCATTCCAGGGAGGGGCCTTCAAGGGGAAGAAAGGAAAAGGCAAGGGCAAGACCAAGAACCCCTCTTCGAGCAGCTCTTCCTACTTGTCTGAAGGTTTCCTAGGGGCGGCTGTGGGCGACCCATCCTACACCGGGTGCTTCATCTGCGGTGACAAGGGGCATGATTTTCGAAGCTGTCCAAAAAGGTCTTCAGGGAAGGGCTCGAAGGGCAAGAAGGGCGGCCAGGTCCACTTTGTCGACGCCATGGTCTATACGGTGGAAGAGATCCCAGAAGACGGCGAGCGCTACCAGAACTTCTGCGACCTGGAGCTTCCCGTTCCGGAGGAGGAGATGGCCGGGTATGCGGTCATTGATAGCGGCGCCACTGAGACGGTATGCAGCTTGCCCGCGTTGGAGTCTTTGGTGAAGCTCAAAGAAACCAAGCAAGGTGCGCCTGTGGGTTTGCAGGTGACTCGGGAGCCTGTGAAGCGATTCAAGTTTGGCAATGGTGAGCACGCTTATGCTTCGTCGTATGTGTTGTTGGACCAGTTAACTGCTGGGTGATCGTTAATACAGCTAGGTATGTTCACTCTGGACGTCGAGGGAGTTCAAGTGTTGTTGGGGGTGAAAACCTTGCGGAGGCTGAAAGCGATCATAGACTTTGATCGATGCCTGGTGGTCTTTGCGGCTGTGAATCCCAACCTTGCCATTGGCCTGAGACGTAGTCGCACCGGGCATTTGCTTTTGAATCTCACCCAGGATTGGCTCTCCCAAGGATAGGATCTGAGTTGAAGCTTCACCCGGAGATCTTGCAAGCAGAGATCGAGGAAAATGAGGGTGTCTCAGCGTTCATGGTTGTTGAAGATCGACCTGCTGACATGTGCATGGATGTTCGTGTGCACGAAGAGCAAAACCTGCCTCATGTACCTCAGACTACGACATCGTATGACAGTGCACCGGAAGCTGATAGACAGGAGGGTGATCTCGCCTGTGTTGCACTCACAAGAAAATCTAGTTGTGTTCCGCAGCGCATGAGGTCTCAGACTCCTTCCCGTATGAGTACCTTGAAGGCTTTGCTCACCTTTGCTGCTCTTCATGGCGCATGCCTCGGCAGCGGCCCCCTCCGCGGCAACCTCGACCGAGCATCCTCCTCCTGTGGCCAAGACAGCGCCGAAGTCCAAGTCAAAGGCCAAGAAGGGAGGAACTGCCCCGCCTTTGGAGCCAGAGAGGGGCGAGGGTCCCGACTTGAGAGATCCGGACTACAGGACCACCATGTTTCGGAAACCACACTCCGGCCCCCTGCTACAAAGGCTCTCCGAGCGGAAGCAACCAGTATGGGTCGTGGACCGCGTGCTCGAAGTGCCTGCTGCGCCTGACGTATGTCCCTCGCCAAGGTCAACACGGGATCTACAGACGCTCTGCCCCTTTGGCGGCGGATGTCAAGGAGGTCCACCAGACCCTGGACCCGGCAGTCTCCGAGTACCCGACCAACCGGGAGATCAGTCTCATAGCGGCGGAAAACTCTGCACTTCGACAAGCCGAGCAACTTCGTCGCATGAGGGAGTCAAAAGCTCCAGGAGCCAAACTCAAGGATGGGGGATACCAGCCGAAGGCCAAGAGCACAACAACTTCTCCTCCGGCAACGGTGACACCCCCACCTACAAGGTCTCCTGTGGAAGCCCCTTCCCGACACCCAGGAGGTGATGTCTTCCCATCCGGGACGCAAGGCTGCTCGACCCAGCGAGACATTGGCGGAGGACCTGGAATACTCGAACCGCTCTTGAAGGATGCGGAGACTGGGTACCACGTGAAGCTGGTGAACGGCGACGCGGTAGAGCAGTTGGCTGAGGAGCTTTTGTATCGTCGGAGGTTTGATCGTGGATCCTTGGAGATGCTGCTGGGCATGATGGTGGCAAGTAGACCTCAGCCTCACCGTGGCTTGTGGACCGCTATGTGAACGGGTGCGTTTCTCAGTGGTTCCCTCAGATGTCTCCGACTTGGACTTCCGTGTCTGTGACCTGCAACCTCAAGTCAGCTATGCGCATGGATGTCCACAACCTCGCCTCCTCCGACAACTACACCTGCACCTACGGACCTTTCCAGAACGGCAACTTGTGGTTGGAGCTGCGGGAAGGAGATCAAGACCCTGGACTGCCTTTAGTTTGGAAGGCAAAGCCAAATGGAGCTCCTGCTCCAGGTGTTAGTGTGAGTACTCGACATTCTCCTCTTCAGCTGTCACCAAAACGTTACCATTGTTCGATGCCTTGGACGGGAGATCGCTATGTGGTGACTGCCTTTACTCCACGGTGCGGCAGTTCCATTCCAAAGGAGGAGATCAGTGTTCTACGCCGTCACGGTTTTGGCCTTCCTCACCAGAGTCCCATGGCCGGAACAGTTGAGGACATTGATGAGGCTCTGGAAGAGGACAAGAATACCCAGACCGAGAATGCGCTGTCTGTGGAAGACTGTGAGAATATCCTCCATCCCTTGAAGGAGGCTGTGAATGCCTTGGAGGAGATCCAGACTGAGTACCCGCCTGTGGCCAAGCTGGACCTCGTGATGCTGTGTGATCCTTGGATTTCCGGTGGGTCCTACGAGGTCGATCTGGAGCAAGGCGGCGTGTCCTGGGCTGTGTTGGGCTTCAAGAACAAGTGTGACTACGCCACCCACCGAGGTTACCGAGCCGCTCAAGAGCAGCTAGACCAACTTCGCCCTCGATGGGTTGTTTGTAATGTTCCTCGAGGTCCAGAATGTGTCAAAGTGTCTGTGGACATGGACGAAAAGGAGGGCTCCAAGATCAAGAAGTACTTGAGAGTGGTTCGTCGTCTGTTGCTTCTGTCTCGCCAGGCGCTGGAAAAGGAGCAGCAGGTGGTGTGGCTGACCCATCCTGCTTCGAAGGTATGGAAGCTTCCGGAGGTCTTTGCATTCTGGAAGAAAAATGCCCATGGCCCTCTGCTGATGGGAAATGAGACGGTGAAGGTGACAAGTACCCGTGCAGCCATTCAGAACACCTTCTCTACTACAACGGTCGGGGCCTTTTCTCATAGTTTAGAGACTATGGACGAGCACCATGCAGCCAGTCAGAACACCTTCTCTACTACCACAAAGGGCCCTTCAGATAGTCTGTGGACATGGCTGTCTCGTGCCATGACCCGAGGGCATGGTGACTTGATGTGGAGTGATGAAGGTGAGCTTTTCCCCATTGACACGACCATTCTCGAGGCACTGGAGCCTCCCAAACTTCAGAAGCTGATTGAGGATGTTCGGAAGTTACATCGCCGATTTGGACATCCTTCCAACCGACTGCTGGTAAAGAACTTGCAGACACGCAATGCTGATCCCTTGGTGATCGCTGCAGCCTCTCAGCTGGAGTGTGATGAATGCCTGGAAGGTCGAATCAAGATGCCTAGCCCTGCTGTCAACTTAGAAAGGACAGACCGCCTTTGGTCGTGCTTGCAGGTGGATGGATGGGACATGAAGTACAATGGTCGGCTCCACCACTTCGTCCTTATGGTTGACGAGGCAAGCGGCTATGCAGTTGTGAGAGAGGTGTTCCGGGTGCCTGAAGATCAGAGCCGGAACGCCACTGGACAGGAGATCCTCGACATCCTGCAGAAGGCGTGGATTCAGTACTTTGGCTATCCCGAGACCATAAAAATGGACTTCGAGGGAGCCCATCGGTCCAAGAAGCTTCGCGAGTACTTTCAGGAGCATGGGATCGACTTCGTGCCGGCGCCAGCTGAGCATCACGAATCCATTGGGCAAGCCGAGAGGTCGATAGGTGTTCTGCGGCACAAAACGGAGACTTTTTTGAGAGGATCCCCAACGGACCCAAAACAGGCTGCCATCGCAATGATCGCGGCCCATAACTCTTTGGCAAGAGTGCACGGATTTTCTCCAGTACAGTGGGCGTTGGGAAGGGATTGGTCTCCAGGTGGCCGACTGGTCGACTCTGCCCAGGATGAGATCACGCTTGAGAATCCTTCCTCCTCATGGCAGCTGCGGAAAGACGCGGAGAAGGCCTTCTTGGAGCACCGAGCGCGGGAGCAAGCAACTCGGGCAAGCAACTCCAGAACCCGGGAGTACGTGAAGTACTTGCCCGAAGACCTCATCTTCTACAAGCGCTTCCAGCATCCTGCAGACTTACCTTCAAATAGCATGCTGGATTACTCCAGACTGCGAACCGCAAGGTGGTATGGCCCTGCCAGAGTTCTGGCTTGCGAAACCAAAGTGGATGGTACTTCGAGACGACCCTCCTCCATGTTGTGGGCCATTGCAGCTGGAAGGTTGAAGAAATTTCATGCCAGCCAGGTTCGCCACGCGTCAGAGTCTGAGAAGCTGGTGAGCCAGGCTACCTCAGCTCCGACTTTTCCCTGGACCTTCACTTCGCTGACCTCCTTGCTTCAAAAGGGCAGCTACGACGACGAGACTAAGCCAAAACGTCGCACTTGGGGAAGATCTTCTCGGATCAAGGCCAAAGCCCGGGAGACCAAGGAGGACACCGGAGCGGCACGGAGGCGGACCATGGGATCCAACGTGCCCCAGCATGTGCGTGATGCCCCTTCTGATGAGGAGATGGTCCCTGATCGAGAGGAAAGTGGAAAGCGACCTGATGAGCTTGACGTTGACCGCTTGCTGGAGGATGTGACGTATCTTCCACCTGGGTAGCCTGGCCTGGTCCTGTTTCTTTTCGAGAACAGCGAGCCTCCCACGAAAGTAGCGATCGGCCTTGGCATGTGAAGCAGGCTTCTCCCGCCCTGTTTGTGGAGGAGGACTTCTCCAGTACCTTGTTCTCGGTGACCTTGGAGATTCCTGAAGACGCCAAGGCATGGAAGAAGATCCTCAAGGACCCAACCAAGTTCATGGTCAAGAATGTGCAGAAAGGTGTTGAAGTCTCTTATCACAAGCTGAACGAGAGACAAAAGCTGGCCATGAATGCTGCAAAGGCTGCTGAGCTGGAATCTTGGCTGGGCCATAAGGTGGCCAAGGCTGCGTGTCCCTCCATCACCGAAGATCAATGCATGCGTATGACACCTTCAAAGCTGCAGGTGACGAGCCATCTGCAAAAGGGCAGGTGAAAGCCAAAGCCCGCATTGTGGTGTTGGGGTTCTCAGACCCCTCGCTGTTGGAGAGGACCACAGCAAGCCCAGCGATGTCCAGGCTGAGTAAGATGCTCTTGCTAAACATGGCTAGTGCCCGAAGATGGAAGATCCTTACTGGCGACGTCAAGACAGCCTTCTTACAGGCAAAACCTCCTGAACGTCTCCATCCGCTGTACGCCAAGCCGTTGCCTGAGCTTGCGGAGGCAATGAAGCTCAGCGAGGGCCAGATGATTGAGTTGCTGGGTTCTACCTACGGCTTGACATCAGCGCCCAGGGAATGGTTTGACGACTTTGCCTCTACGCTTCGGAAGTTTGGAGCTCGGCAGAGTCAATGTGACCCCTGCTTGTGGACCATCGTCGACAGCGAGGGCGTTGTCAGAGGCCTATTAGGGGTACATGTTGATGACGTTTTGTTCTCAGGGGATGAGGGATCGCCAGTTTGGACCACTTTTCTTCATGAGCTGCGCTCTTCCTACAAGTGGGCATTGTGGGAGGCTGAGAATTTCCTCCACTGCGGACTCAGGCTCCAACAGTTTGCTGATGATTCGGTCATGTTGGACCACTCTGAGTTCTGTTCGAACTTGAGCCAGATGCCTACTCGCGCCAAGGGAGACGAGTCTCTTCTGTCGGAGAAGGAGTTGAGCCAGGCAAGGGCGATACTTGGATCTGCCCAGTGGCGAGTTACTCAATCGGGTCCTCATCATGCTGCTAAGCTGAGCTACCTACGAATCCTACGAAGCTTCTTGGCTACTCGGCATTTCTCTGCCATCGACCAAGTGAACAAGCTTGTGCGGGAGATCTATGCATCGCGGCATGTGAGTGTCCGAGTTCAACAGCTCCACTGCGACCATGCTGAGAGGCTCATGATCGTGGGCTACAGCGATGCTTCCTTGGCCAACCGTCCTGATGGAACCTCAACTGGAGGTCACATCTTCGGCTTCATGCATCCTGAGGACTTCTCAAAGGGGCATGGGAAGCTTAATCCCATTGGGTGGAAATCGGCTAAGCTAAGCCGTGTGGCCAGGTCAAGCCTCTCTGCTGAGGTGCAGAGTCTTGCCGACCTGGAGCAGGAGATGATGCTAGCTCGCCTTACGTGGTGTGAGGTCCTGGGCAAGGAGGTGAACCTTTCGAACCCTGCGGCATCAGTGCGGCAGGTCCCGGCGGCTATGATCATTGATGCTAAGGCGGTCTATGACGTCCTCGACAGGGACTCCGTGCTGTCGGCGTCCGTGGGGATCAAGGACAAGTATTCGGCGCTGGAGCTGGCGGCGCTGCAGCAGCACATCGCAGAGCAGGGCACTTTGATCCTGTGGTGCGATTCGGATCGACAGCTTGCTGATGGGCTGACGAAGAGTGCGAAGCAGGAAGTAATCAAGGCCTTCCTCATCACCGGCACTTGGAAGCTGAGAATGGATGGTGCTTTCATCTCAGCTAAGAAGAGGAGATCCATGGAGAAGGTCGATCAAGACCACGGTCCCTTTTGATGCGTGTAGAGAGTTTCCTTTCTTTCAGCACGTTTGGTGTTTTCGTCCATCCTTTTCCGGGGTGTGTCAAGGCATGCACCATAGCATGGAGTGGACTCCTGCACCCAACCGTGCCAGTGCTGTGATCGCAGGCTAGCCTTTGGCCCGAACCTTTGCTACGCATAGCTGAGTACCCTTAGGGTCTTTGCAACGCCATAGGCAAGTTTGCGGTCGCCAGGACCACGTGGAGCCGTGACGGCTTGGAAAAAGATCTCGACCGTGTGCGTGGTGGAGTTGTGCATTTTTGGTGTGGTTCTGGGCAGACCTTGAGACAGTGGCAGTAGTCGCTTAAGAGCTATTTTTGATGAGTTTGCATATGGACCCCACGCAGACCAAGGCTCCTAATCCATCTTATTTACATGGACCCCATGCAAACGGAAGCTCCTGATCTGTCCTATGTATATGGATTATATGGAACCCACGCGGACCAAATCTCATGATGTAGCCTATTTAGATGGACCCCGTGCGACCCATCTACCAGTTTTGACAATGTTGCATCCAGCATCTTGAGCGGAACCAAACGATAAGAAAGAATCCATGTGACCTTCATATGTGAACCAAGGCCCTTTGCAATGTAAATTCTACAGTAGCGACAACAGCGATAAAAAAAAAGAGGCAACAAATGAAGGCATCGGGCTTTGTGGGGCCGTGGGTTTCTCACAACTAAGGGTGTGTTTTGGAGGCCGCTCTATTCAGGATCTGAACAGAATGCAGGCATGCGCAGCGCAGGGCCTGTGCTGAGATGTGTGCCCAAGGACACGCAGCCTAACCCCCAGACCTTGTGTAGATCTTGTAGCCTACTATAGACAAAGCCTGTAATCATCCACCCGAAAGCCCTTGTCTGTAACATTCGTGTTATTGGATGGGAAAACGCTAAGGGTAAACAAACACGATAACCTGTTGAATTGGATAGAAGGCTGGCCTCTAGGTTGTTGACGCGGCTCCAGCTGAAATCTTTATCATGTGTACTCTCTGTACTGATCCTGTAAATTTTTCTTCTCCAACCAGAGAGGAGTCAACCCAAAAGAGCATGCGCGGGAGCCTTTGCCGTAGTCTTTGAGGCCCAAGGCGGAAGCAAAAAGACTACAAACGCTTCTCGCGTGAGGCCTTCACGGAAGGTGTAGCTTATGCAATGAAATTTCACTGGAATGAAAACCACCGCTCAAGTGAACAGCTACAAAATTCCGAAAAGTGGTTCCCACCATGCGCGAGGAAGCTTTAGCGGAAACGCTTCGCTTGCGGAAGCTGTTTTCCAATTTTTGACGGATAACGCTGCAGACTAGAAAACCCTTTCGCGGAAGCGTCGCGGAAGCACCGTAGAAGAAAACGTCTGCGGAAGAACCCGCGGAAGCACAGCGTCGGAAACCTGCCAGTAGTCTTCGGGGAGGTATCGCGGAAGGTCCGCGGAAGCTCGCGGGCGGAGACTTTACTTGAATATTATGTCCATCAAATCTATACACCTGTTTTTTAACGGCTCAAGTGTGGGTTCCTGCTGCGGTGGCCAGTCTGAATGACTTCGCATCAAGAACACACTCTGCCCGAAAAGGCTTACAAGTGTCCCCAGAGTATGCGAAAAGACAACAGTCAAAGTCTGCCCTGCGAGCTGCCCGAACGACAGCTGGGGAGCAGCGCCAAAATCGCAGCTAAGCCAAGCCATCTAAACCTCAAAGTTGCTTGAGCTGCAGCTCCGGTCAGGTGGTGCAATCGAGGGGATCGGCAAGATGAGGCTTTCGCCGCAAAGCAGTTTGATCAGGCTGACGTGGTAAGTGTAGGCTGCGTGAAACCTTGTGAAAATGATTTTGCCTTTACGAAGCAGCAGGTCCTCTCATCATTGAGGGGCTACAACTCCAAGACCATGCCAGTTGAGCTGCCCCTGACTTACGTGTGTCTGTGCGTGTTTGAAGCCAGTCCGCGCATTCTATACAAGACAGAGTATTCATTCGAAGTACTAGACTTCGAAGAAGGCCCAACATGAGTTTAAACTGGCCGCGGTGGCTGTTGCCAAATGTTACTAAAGATTTAGATGCAGTATCGTCTTGTCAAGACGCACTGAACGCCGGGCTTTAGGGGAGTCAATTGCGATAGAGTTACCGTATAGGCATGCCACAGATGCAGCCGGAAAGAGAGGGGCCAAACCGAAAGCCAAGTGCAATGTTGCTCAGAGCGATCTCTTCTCCCAACTGCAAGAGACAGCACCCCCGCACGCAAGGCTCTTCGGAATGCCTTGCCCCGCGCACAACCACCCCCGTCCAGTTTGCTCCAATTTCGAAACGTTGGAAGCGAACATGAAATCACCGGAGAGCTTTGCGAGTCTAGGCTGGCGCTGGAAAGATGGGACCTGAGGTCCCACAGAAGTGGATTCACCAAATTGCCTGGCATGCCCGAGTCACTCCGCTGCCCCACCCAGGCAAGGCATTGGAGTATACTGGGCCAGTGTAGACAAGGTGTGGTATCACTTGTGTTTTGTAGCTTTGTATTATTTGTATTGCTATGAGATGATGCCTGTCAATGAAAAACACATTGACATGCGACAGATCATGGATCAACCGAATTCAAAGTCAAATGTAATGTCGACCACTGACTAGCGTGGGGGTTGTGAACTGTGCGAAGTTTGCCCGAAGGTGTTCTGCGCCCTCCAATTCGTTTGCGGCTGCTGATTTATGCAATGTTGCGACCCCAAATTCTTTCGGGAGAACAAAAGTTAGTAATGTAGGTTGAACCCTAGATTGCGCCTAGTCCAATCTGCCCTTGTTGGAAGTATGGGTTAACATGGAACTTCCGAGATGTCAAGCCTGAGGACTTCAGGTTTCAAGCCCGGTCCAAACCCAAACCTGTCCATTTCCTTATTCCAGGAGACCGGGCAATCATGTTTGCAAGGGCGTAGCAACAGCTACCGAGGTTCTCAAGAACAATGTGCTGGTGCTGATTGATCCGGATGTTTTCGGTCCCCCCAAGGGATTCCAGAAAGCACTATTGAGTTCCAATTTGAAGCATCTAGACCTTAAGATCCAAAATCTCCCAATCCACGGAGGAACGGAAACTTATACATGCATGCTGGCGACGTCCGGAAACTTGTCGTCTCCCTTGCTGAGGGGTCATAGCACCTTCTGGAACAGCCTATGAAGAATCCACTTCATCTTATGCCTGTTCTTGCAACGTAGGCCAGACCTTGGCAATTATCAAGGCCATACGTGTTTGTAAGAACCTTCTTCAGATTCCTGCAGTCAGGGATTTCGGTGCCAAATGAGCCATCGAAAGTATCCGAATATTGCAGTAAATGGTGTTTGAATTCCACGAATGTAATAACGAACACCTGTATTATGAGAATCCATCTAAGCCTTTCTGAACTGTTCTGAAACACGTCTGAAGTCCTTCCTGATGCCTTCTAGATTGTAAATCTTTTCCGCAAGCCTTTTCAACTTTTACCTGATCTGATCCCCTATTCAATTTGATGTACAACTCGGATCCAAATTTATTAGGCGGATCTACATCCTCTTCCTAAATAGGAACCCATTTTCGTGGGGGGAAGGGGGGGGGAGCTGGCACTGGTCAGGATCCAACGTTCATCATGATTTCTTGGACTGGGCATGGCTGAGATAGAAAAGAAGAGATGCATCGACAGCAAGCATGAACCCATCTGAACCCTAGCAAATGGGGGTTGCGGGGTGGGCTACCGCAAGGCATAGCCAGGCACTCCGTTTCTTGAACCTTGGTTAAGTCAGCTCTGGCAAATAAACCCTTCCCCCCTAATATCAAACCCTCCGTAATACAAGATATGGGTTCCGCAGAATGCGGAACTCAGAGTTCTGAAGTCTGCCCCAAAGAATACTTTAAAAAGGGCCAAGATTTCAGCCAATTACGGCTCGGATCCTCTCAATCAGGAAGGTCCCCAGCATGACTCATAAGGGTTAGGGACCTCCTCGATTTCCTAGATTTTGATTGTTTTCGGGCGGTTCTTGTAAAGGAATGTATATAAACGCTGAATTCAATTTCGATTCGGTTTATTGCGATTTTAAGTCACCTGAAAAAGATTCAATTGCTGAACACTTGATGTTAGTTGCGTTTTACATCTTGTTACTAAGACCTTTTTTACGATTTGGATTAGATTTTAAGTTGGTGATTTAATAAATTTCTATTATTGTATACCCCCCCACCCTTAATGCTCGGGTCGTTCGATAAATACGCCCCCTAAGATTAGATACGGGTCGGAGTATATACATTAGGGCGCGGAGAGGCCTTTACTATTAGGGGGAAAGGATAGTTTTTTAGGAGTTGGCTTGGCGCATTCTGGTGATGGTAACGAGTTGCTATTTATTTCAATGAAGATGTTTAAGCTCTGCTGGAACTGGCAATCCTCGCTGGAAAGAAATTCTGGATATCTTTGGATCAACAATGTTAAGAAACCAGAAACTCTTGAAGCACTCCCCAGTAACTGGGGAGTGCTTCAAGAGTCTCTGGTTTCCTAACATCATTGATCCAAAGATATCCAGAATTTCTTTCCAGCGAAGATTGCCAGTTCCGTTGGGGACCAGGCATGCAAGGCACGATTCCAAGGTCTGGTAGATGGCATGACAAGTATGGACATTCTGCGCCAGAGAGAGTTCTTGTTTGGAAAGCAAGAATCACACACGCCATCACTCGCCCAAAACGACGGCGTCTTCGCAAGCCCCAAATGTGGTAAAGGATGATTAGCACAGCCACCAATTTCCCAATGACCGCAATCCAAAACAAGAAGCAACAGCCAACCGTTCCGTCCATGCATTGTTTTCTTGAAGCAGCTGAATCGTAAGGTTAAAAAACATGAGAAAAGAGTCGACATAAGGCCAGAGCCATTGCGAAGGAGGCGCAGGCTGGGATGAGTGCCCGACAGTGGAAGCATTGTAGAACTATTCTGCTGCTTGTGGTTCTGCAGGCTGCACAACCGGAATCCAGCTGCGGTTGCGCTGCGCTCTGCTTGAAGC